AGAACAGACTAAAAAATATGAGGCGACAACTGCGTGACCTATCCACTAGTTCCTTATCAGTTCATCTTAGAATCACAGAGATTTTTGAGATGGCCTCAAGGATGCGCCAAGCGCGCGACAGGCAAAGAGAATCAATTGCTCTCAGTGGTTCGAACCCTGGCAAATCCGTCGCTAGCATCTTCCGTCATCGGTCCTACTTTAAGCGTGGTCATGAACTTCCACCCATGCTAAATGATAACAAAGTATTCCTCACCGATGACACTGACAAGGCGGAGTTGTTTAGTGCTTTCTTTGCAAAACACCTTGCTACCGAGTCCGATCCGGTCCCTTTCTTTGGATCACTTTCAGATAGGACACTTAGTACAATTGATGTCTCCTCAGATCTCATTAAGAAACACATAAGCCGTTTGAAATACTCCCACTGCTCAGGAATGGACGGGATTCCGAATTCGATTATTAAACAAGCGTCCGACTTTCCCATATTGCTCAGTCATCTATTCTCGGTTTATATTCTAAAAGGACTCTTTCCTGAAACATGGAAAACGTCAATTATCATTCCCGTTTTCAAGTCAGGATCTCGGTCCGATGTTAATAACTATCAGGGCGTGCACAAAACGCCGTCTCTAGCAAAACTTCTTGAAAGGATTATTTTCAATGAAATTCTTGACTTCTGTCTAGCTAATCGGCTTCTGAGCTCTAGTCAGCATGGGTTTTTACCTGAACGATCCTGCGAAACATGCCACTTGGCTTTTCTTAATCTAATCACTTCTCTTCGTAATGAGCGGCAGTCAGTGGTTGTTATTTACTTTGATTTTAGCAAAGCCTTTGACAAGGTGCCCCATAGACGTCTTTTAGTAAAATTGGAAGCCCTCGGCATCCGGCCGCCTCTACTCGACTTCATTAGGTCCTATCTGTCCAACCGATATCAGAAAGTCATGGTCGGTAATAGCTACTCGACACCTCACTCGATCACGAATGACGTACTTCAAGGCACGGTCCTGGGTCCGCTACTCTTCCTTCTGTACATCAATGATATTTCGACTGAACTCGGAAATTCGCAAACTTTTACTTATGCCGATGACCTCAAGTGTGTTTACTCATACTCTAAGGACACCGCAAATGTTTGTGTTGAAAACATTAATGCCGATCTACTACACTTAAGCAGATGGGGTTCGACATGGCAGATGGAGTTTTCATCATCCAAGTGTAGTTTCATGCCTTTTGGTCCTACCAAACTTCCTGGTCCTATAATTTTTCAGAATAACCCACTCTCAGAATGCCTCACCATAAAGGACCTAGGTCTAAGTTATACAAATAAACTTGCTTTATCACCTCATGCAGATAGAATCTCTGCCAAAGCCGCGCAGATATGTGGATTCATATCGCATAATTTTTTCCTTCCGGAAATGAAGCTAAGACTTTATCAAATGTTTGTTCTTCCAGTCCTCGAATATTGCTGTCCTTTCTTCGGTTTAATGAGCGCCTGCGACCGTAATAAAATCGAAAATGTTCAGAGGGTTTTCACTCGGAAACTGTTCTCTCAAGCTTCGTCCAGTATTTCTTATACTCAGAGATGTCAGCTGGCGAACATGAAGTTTTTGTGGGTTAGAAGACTCGAAGCTGGCCTTTGCTTCCTTTTTCGCATCAACTCTAGCTCCAGTTTTCCGCACATTGACACTCTCACTCCGAGAGATCGGTCTTATGCCACGCGCAACTCCTGCATGGTGATTCCGCCGCCTCTTTGTACTACATCTAAGCGCTTCCTCTTCTTTGCTTCCAAATATGCCTTCCTTTGGAATAATCTTCCGCCTGAAATTAGATTATCGCCTAGGTTACTGATATTCAAGTCGAAATTACGCAACCATCTTACACCGGAAAGCATAAAGGCACTGTTAACGGTCTCATTCCCGAACACTCAGATTCTTGACTTCGAGAAGGGTCCTCCTGGGATTTAGTGGTAGATTAAGTGGTAACTCTTAATTATATCATTAGAAACCCCTGTTTTGCATTGGTTGCTAAATCCGCTGCTATTACTCCTCCCCCATAGCGACAATTTTCGCGGTTTTTGATGTCACCTCCCGCATTCCGACCTCATGCGGTCTGTCGACGCTCACGGCGGAACCCTCAGTATTCACTGTCTACTAGTAGTTCGGTCGTACCTCCCTTCCTCACTGCTCGGCTGAGCTCGAAGCGTGCTGTGGCCGATCGCATCTCGGTTCCTCTCGTCTGGCCTCTTTGACGCGGCGTACCAATCCGGCCCAGACGATCTCAATTGTGAATCCCGTATACAATGCCATTTGCAAGCCAGTCCTATCTGACTCACATTCGTACCCATCAAGGCGGACATTTATTGATACCCTGACGATGACCGAAAACATTCCGTTATATACCGCCACCTACAGGCCAGTCCTGCTCGCTTTTTTCTGTTATTATTTTTAAAGAGGGTTTTTTTTCTCCTGTAAAATTAATCCAATCATTTTTAACTTTTTCCAAGGAGTTTTTTTTCACCCCTCAATCATCATGTTTCTCAATGGACTTCTAATTCAGAAACTATGAATTGCATTTTGTAAAGATTCAGCCTACCTCGTCTAAAACTCGCATGCAAATTTATTTTAACTTGCTTTGATGGGACCCCGACGGGTCTTTAATAAAAATTATCTATCTATCTATGACGTCCATGGCTGAAAAAAGACTACCAGTTGCTGGAAAGATTTCAGAGGAGAACGATAAAAATTGTGTAAAGCCTCAGGACTTTACCTTACAACTGCAGACTTGATGGTCTTAACCTATTTTCTCTAGACTACAAGCAGATCCGAGGAGATCTCATGCAGGCGCACCGGATTTTGAGGGACCGGGACTGCGCCCTTGGCCACAACAACCAACCTGTCTGGGAACTCTTTTAAACTTAGAGGATACCGATGTCGCATTAAAGTTCGCAGGTGCCCTGTTTCAGAACGAGTCGTCGGTACCTGGAAGGGGTTTCCCGAGGGGGCAATAATGGCGGATCCCACGGCGACATTTAAACGAGGACTAGATGTATATTTGCTTAAAAATGCGCTTATCTGAACAGAACAGCTCTGTTATACCAAACCAGATACTCCATACACACACCGCTAATACGGATAATTGTCATTTCATTTGCCGCTCTCACCTACAACTGAGTATTCTCGAGTTTCGGTCATGCATTTTTACGGAAAATGTTCTGTTAAGTGTATATATTACTGACGAATTTTAGTACAGTGTTCAGTTAAAGCAGATTTTGCATTACCGTTTTCAATAGGGTTTTCAAAGGCATTGCCTATTACTCTTAAAATATAATGACCAGTACTGACCCAGACACGCAGGAATCGGATCCGTAATAGGCGGCAATATTATTTCTACGGGATGTCATTCCGAGAAGCAGAAACTCAGAAGAATCTCGGAGTTTGGATTACAGACACCTTAAAGGCTTCTACATAATGCCGTAAGGAAGCTAAAGCCGCAGCTGCAATACTGTACGCCTTCAGGCGGGCATTCAAAATTTTCGATGAATAATGCTTGTCCAACGTCTTCGGCACGTTTATACGGACGCAGCCGGAATATGCAATCCCAGCCAGGAGACAGTGGACGCAGCAGGATTACAATGTACACGAAAGGGTGCAGAGGCGAGGCACAAAACTAGTAAGAGGTCATAGTAAACAGCCTTGCGATAGCAGCCAGACCAACCCTAAACTCTATCATCTGAGTTATAGGCAGTTGCGGAGTGATTTGACACAAACATTCCGCTTGGTGCGTGGATTGGACTGCGCCCTCCGGTGTGAGGACTTTTTTCAACTTGCCACGACAAAAAACCTCCGGAACAAACAACGTCTTCCCAAAGGCAGATTGGATAGAAGAAAGTATTTCTTCTCCGACTGCGCCGTGGAACCGTGGAATAACCTACCGCGGGATTGTAAATATCCGTTTGAAAAGATATTTAAATACCGTCTGGAAAGACATCTATTGCAACAGCAACCTCACTATGTGGCACTGTAACCAGAAAAACCAGTGCCCCATATGAATCGATGTCTGCATTCACACAATGTCTTAATTACTTCATGTTGTTGCTAATTTTTAGATATTCAAGCACAAATACAAGACTCAAAGGCGCAAGGCTATTTATCACATACACACTGACTGAATGACGTGATTGATGGACAACATCCCCTCGTTACATTTGGGAAGTGCTGCAACAAATAGGGTCTTGGCTAACGATATGATATGTGCCTTAATGTTTCATTACATGACTCTTAACACACTTATCCTTACGCCACCCCGCGTCAAGCATGCATGCAAGTTTTAGTCTAATTGATTATGCATCTGACAACCTCTGATAAATATGCACACTGAAGATTAAGATTGGACCCCTTACAACCCTAGTAGCAAGAGTATATCGACTCGATATGAAGTAGATAGCGGATTTTCAACATAGGTGTATCTAGTGGACAGCGTTTTTTCCGGCAGATGTTTATCGAGTAGATATCGAGTTATCGACAAACTCGAAAAACGGCGGTAACAGGACGCATAACAATTTTCACGACCCCTTTTCCAACGAAGGTACCACCGTTAGATACTTAATCGACCTATATTGTTTCTGTCGCCCCTTTTGTCCTCTCAAATCCTCTACCGTAGTCTCAGTTTAGACGACAAACGCATGAAAACGCAAAGTTTCCACAACACTTTAAAATCGTATGAAGCTGTAATGTATATTAACAAAATAAAAAAAATTTATGGGTGCAGTAATATTTAAAGTGTTATTGATCCATACAACGGAAATCCAATGGGGAATCTGATGTGTACCCCGATGAAGTTCCTGGTATTGGATCTACATAGAGGAGTAGTGTGTAATAGATGGTTGAGGAGCACTCATCGTTCGTTTGAATAGTGTTGTTATTTCCTTGCATTATTTTGACAAAGTATCCAGAAACCGTTTGAGTCGTTTTGTAATGGGCAACTCCAGATCGGCAAGGGTCGCCATACCGTCACCATTTCAAATCCCGAAGACCACTGTGGATACAGCAGTAATTAAATTATTGAAAAGGCGTGTGTTTATGGAGTGCAGTTGGTTGTTTATAGCTCCAACATCCACGGGCTTAAGAGCCGATGGCGTTGTAAGCACGCTGACTTTAGAATTATGATTTCTTACCCATAAATTAGGCAACCTCTTCACCACTCCCAAATATGCGAGATGAAGGGGGTCTAGAGGACATTTTGAAATTATGCCCAAATTTGAAGCTAAAAAGGACATATGACAGCCCTGTAATCGTCGTCGACAGACTGCAGGAATTCCGCGTCCACCCTTTCTCCCTCCCCTTCCTCCAGGTAGACCACTTTCCCCATATATATTTCTTCCACGTTGCAACGTTCACATCCGTAACAGGTGTTCATATTCTTAATTTGTTTAATGAAGGCCCTAACAGGAGCCGCACAGTTTACCGCTTCGACCACAAAGCGTGCTACTTGGATGTCGTCATTCATGTGCAATTCTCATTTCCTGTAGTGGATTACAGAAAGCTAGGACGTCACACGGCTTCACATTGCCGAAATATATACCTACTGGAAAGACGTTACTGATGAGCAGCCGCTCTATTCTTCCTAAGATAGGCCACATTATGGTTTTCGGTTTTCTATGGACTGGAAACCGTCGATTGCTAGGGGACGGTCATCTTACTGACCAGTCTGCGAAGTTTTATTTCCAAACCTACATGGACGTATTCCCAGCCGCACATTGGGGCTACTTCCAAATTATACGACGCCCCGAGCAGAGTTCTCGAATCTGCTGGCAGTTGCGGCACGGTCGGCCTAAATGTATCTAACAGTTCTCACAAATGAGAGTGCGCTATGTTGTTTCGCATGGCCCATTCGCACACTTTACTGATATTGGCATTTCGCACTCGCATATTGTAAGCTACACTGTCTGCTGCTGCAATAAAGCTCCCCGAGAGTGGGTATAGTCCCTATTGATCAGACGGTCGTCTGCCGAAGTGCATGCATGTTATGCGTGCGGTGACAGAAAGTTGCCTCCCAACTACTTCAAAACTAAGCAGGTATTAAAAGGTTACCAGATCGGGTAATTACATGAGCATCCCCTTAACCCCCTTCGTCATGATGTATTCATTGAGTGAGACGAGAGTTACGTAAGAAGCAAACTACTTCTGACTCCAGCTCCACTTAACGTTAAACACAGCGCCAATAAGCAATTAGGCCAATGTTGGCCACTGCCAACCATCCGTCGTTAAATGAAATTAAAAGTGATGAGGGTCAAAAGCAAGAGCAGCCGAAATATTCCGTTAGAATAATAATCGTTTTGTTAAGCAATGTTGTGGACGCTGTCATTGTAAAGGAAAAAATATTCGCAAATAAATTCCGGAACGAATAAATCAGCCTCTATAATCACCAAGTTGTGCTCATAATAATTATGATTGCTGAATTGGACGTCCGCTTGCTGGCGTTGTAGGAGTGTCAAAAAGACATTGACATACGAAGCTGAGCTAAGCATGCAAAGGCGTCTTGCTTGGGAACGATTCGCCGGAGGAATTCTGAAATGAGTATACATTGTTTGAATTTTTAGGGGGAAAGATAATTGTTGCGCATCAGACGAGAATGAGTGCAATTTGGACTGTACCACTCTACTGGTGGGTTTATGAGGATTCAAAAATTTTCTTGCCAAGGGGACAATAGAAAACCGGAAGAGGCTAAATGCACACCCAAAGCGCGGTAGATACGACCATAACGTTTCTTCTCTCGCCGAGAGAATCATCGACAAGTTGTCAAGACTGAGGGACCCACTTTGAGCGTCAAACTTTCGCTTAGGCCTGAAACGAGGAGCGGAAGGTTAACGGCCGTGAACACATTTGCTTTAGAAGATAAAATCGGTAGATGAAATAACACAATTACTAAGATAGAGTCGCAAAGTTAAGCGGGTTTCCAGCTGAACAAGTAAAGCATATACAACCCACCCTTCACTTACAGAGAGGCGTATTTTGAAGTCCAGAAGTTGAGTGTATAAATATATAAATAATTTTTATTAAAGACCCATCGGGGTCACATCAAAGCAAGTAAAAATAAATTTTCATTGAAATTTTAGACGAGGTAGACAGAATCTGTACAAAATATAATTCATAGTTTCTGAACTAGTAGTCCGTTAAGAAAAAGATGAGCGAGCAGTGAAATAAACTCCGCTTAAGAGGAAAAAGAATGATGGGATAAACTTTACAGGAGAAGAAAAATGTCGCTCGTAATAAGAAAAAAAATGCGGGTAGGACTGGCCTGCATGTCGCGGTGTATAACGGATTATAATCGAGCATCGACAGGGCAGAAATGAATGTCAGCCTTGAGGGGTACGTATGCGGTTCACACAGGACTGGCCTGCATGTGGTATTGTATAAGGACGAGAGTGAAAGGTAGACAGGGCTTTATGTTGAGAGCGCATACAATCCCAAAAACAAGAGCCAGCCAATCACGGGAGGCCACGTGCGTTTTCTCTACTGCGCTGTCATCTTAATGTGGCGCCTCTCCATCGGCTTTTCGTCTCGGGCCTGATCGATCTGCATATTCGAATTATCGACCGGCTCGTCTGGAATGTTTTCCCGATGGGCATTGGGACAAATACCGGCGAAGCACAGTAGGACGTTATAAATATGCGCTACTTCCAGTTAATTTTGACTCGCATTTTCCTAATACACATTTTCGTGGCCGGTCGCGTTCTCCTTCTCTGCCGCGTTGGTATTGGGGACAAGGGTCGTGTGCGTATACGCTTCACGGGGTTTCAAGTACCAGGCGGGTCATAACACTTTATATCTCCCAAGTTAAGGTGCTTACGTAGTTTAATCATTGAGTATCCATAGTCCCGGTGGCGACCTAATTTTAAGTGCAAGATTGTCTCAGAGGAAAGTAGATTTAGTGGCAAGAAAGACAAACGCTTTGATGTAGAGCAGAGATGGTGGAATGACCATGGAGGAGTTCGGTGTGTCATAAAGTCAATTCACTGGATTGAGAGTATAAATGCGTGGAAGATCGGGACTAGAATTAATGCAAAATAGGAAGGAAAAGCCGGCTTCGAACATTATGAGCCATAAAAATTTGATGTTTGCCAATTAATATACCTCGGTACTAGAAGTACTGGATAAACCACGGTAGAAGAGTCCTTGAGTTAAAGCCCTCCAAACATTAATGGTTTTACTACTGTCACAGGCATCCGGATAAAGGACAGCAAAGTTCGAGGACGGGAAGGGCAAGAATGCGGTAAAAACTTTGCTTTATCTCCTAAAGGAGGCACTGATGCAATATCTACGCAGCCCCTGCAGAAATTCGGTCGGAATGAAGAGAAAAAGCTAGCCTATTCGTATAACTTAGGCCTAGGTCCTTGATGACGGAGCATTATAAAAGTTGATTGTTTTACAAAATTATGGAGCCTAAAAGTTTAACTGGACCGAATCACGTGAAGCTACGCGTGGGCAAGAGAAAATCGGTCTACCATATCCAACTCCACGCCAACGGAAAAGTATGTCTGTTAAAGAGTTTTTTCAACACGCGTATTTAGATGCGATTTTTCTGGTATTACCGTATGCGATATTCCTAACGGACTAGGTATGGCTGATGACAACAATTGACAAATATTTCATTAAATTCAGCTACTGGGGTAAGGAGTAGAATATCAACCTTATTTATCGATTCGGTGTGTTTTAATCGGAAATATCTCGTAAAAACACGTTTTGACGAAAATTACAGCCTCTCTGCTGAGAGAAAGGAAGGGCAGATCGGTTTCGAAACGTAGGTAAAACAAGGTGAATACCTGACCTCTCGAGAGAAGACCGACTGGAAGAGACTAGAAGGAGAAGGTGATTTAAATTGGTCATCAGTTTCCAATATTTCGTCTGGAGACCTAAGAACGGGTATAGAGTCATGGTTAGTTCTCGTGCTTCGCGTGTAGCCATGTTATATTTTGGGTTGTTCCAGAGAATTTTACAATGTCCTCAGTTCTTATTTAATGCGAAACCTGATGGCCTCATTTTTATAAACGTCCTGTTTGTACTTTTATTTCCGTAAGCGCATTTCAATGCCAGTTAGTCTATTGCGACTCCACAAGCGAATTCTTTTAAAAGCCGGTAACTCGGCTATCGCCGTTCGCTTTCATGTGACATAAAAACAACCCCTCTCCCTGTTTGGTCTCTCTCTGCTGAAGTGTTGATACCTCCTGAGTGGTATTTCGGATTTGGAAACAGATACAGTGAGCCACGTTTCTGTGGGAGCCATTATGCCTGGCTCTATTTCATCAACTAACCCAAATTCACCTTGTTTGTTGGACAGGTTTTGTACATTTGCGAATGCAGTCTTCAGTAACCATCTTCTTGAGGAGGTCCAGCCTTTTTTACGAGCGATTTTGTCCACAGGCTTGACTCCTTGATTTGGATAAGTTGGCTTTTTGTTGTTGCCCTCGTCTCTCCCCTGTTCATCCTTTCTCTCATTTCATCCTTTAATTTCCTCATTCTCCCCCCTTCCATTCGTTCGCAGTCTGGCCGAAAAAACACCTATTAGTGTCACTGTCGTTGGGCCAATTCCGTCAAATAGTTAGGGAAGGGATGCGGAAGATCCGCTGTTGGCCATTTACAAGTGTATCGACGTAACTGGAACAGAGTATCATATCAAGGCTCACAAACATTGACATAGGCCGGACTAAAGAAGAAAATGGTCTAAAAGGCATGAGAAAGGGAATGATCATATGAAGAAAACAAAGACGTGTACTAAAGCCTCCAGCACATGCCACCACCCCAGGGGCTGGGCCACATTGGGAGACACAGGGCCGTGGCCCAGGCAGGGGCCGTTCATCTTTTATTTTTCACACAACCGGTTGACAACGGTTCGGGTTTTTGCAGTACCGACGGCGTGGTTACGTCCCTTACACTGCTCTTCCTGTAAAAAAAACAACCGTACAAGTAAGATGCTTCCCGCTATTTGCTTTCGGATGACTGGGGTCGACTGGATCACCTGCTGAATTCAACCCATTGCCATCTTCGTTTTGACAGGGAGGACGAAGTCTAACAATGCGCACAATGGGTAGAATTTCAACAAGTGACTCAACTCATCCCAGTCTCCCTGAAACAAATAGCGGAAGTATTGCAAGAAAGTGTAATTTCTGTTATGACGTACCTCAGCCCAAATTAACGGCCCATCCAACAAATAATAAGTAACCTGGATATCCTTTTATTGTTCGCATTTGCAACGCAAAAATCGCTTCCCAGCATCCAAAGGAAATGGAGTATAAGTAGTAAGAAATGATTGTTAATTATAAACACAAGATAAGTTGCTTTATTTGTATTGCAAACAATGGCTAAAACTGTCAAAATATCCTAAAGGAAAAGTGTGTATAGGCATACACAACCCTTAACGGAGCTTTTGTTGTACAAAAGGAATGCTGAATCTGGAAAATGCAACAAGGTTACACCACAAATTCTCTGAATTCGGGGCAACGGTATGGTAAAGGACATCACTTTACTGTCCGTAGACTGCGGATCCAGTCATACGCGAATGATGGTAATGGAAGTGTTACGAGCGGGGCAGCACGCCAGACAGTAGGCTGAAGAAATCCAATAGCACATAGAAATCATTTAGATTTATACGGAAGGTCATTCTGCACACCTTCGTATAGTGACAGAAATGAGCGCAGCGTTAAAAGAAATAAACGAAAGGCAAATCTTAAAAGAAATAACGGAGTTTCGGTAATAGTCTGAGGCCATGGGAAGTACAGTACGTGACCTATCTCATGTAATCCGATAACGGAATCAGATGGGAGAATTTACGGACGCCTTTAACGTTGCGCACTTTGTTCGTTCACCCACGTCCTTCAATGAAATTTCCTTTTCTTGCACAGAACTTGTGTTTACGTAATTATATCAAGTAAAATATCAGTAAATTTTAGCGAAAATAGACGTTGAAATATGACAGTTCGACCATCGGTTTCGACGATGTCCACCGTGTGCCCCACAGTTGCAGCAGCAATGGGAGCAGGGACGGTGACTTACGCAGGGGTTTATAGTGCCGGTAGACTTGCGTAGCATCTACCTACACTCTCTCCTCCTCCCCCGCCTGGGCCCGGTGTCAAGACAGAGTCAAGAAGACCGGAGACGAGGGAGGCCGCAGGTGGATGGCTCGGACGAATCCTCACCTTGGCGTTCCACCACACCCCCTGGTCCACACAACAATAACCAGGATTTCAACCAACATAACAGAGATTTGGAGGCTGGCACGGCCGAAGCCGCACCTGGGCGTGCCGCCAACGCCTGGCTCGGATCCCACAGTGTGATGGGGGTGCCATAAAGGCCACATTAAAAAGGAGCCATTGCAGCCTGACTCTCAGACCGCCTCCAGTCGAGGAGGAGGTCCAAGTTATCCCGTCAGTTGGCAACCTTCCAAGCCACGGCTTTTGGCGCACCGTGATAGCTTCAAGCGCGTCAGATTGTTTATAGTGAGGAGAAAGTGCGCTGAGTCGTCGACCTCACTCTTCCCTCCCACTCCCGCAACCCAGCCGCTGTCCGAGCCGGTCAGCAGACAGGAATGGGGAATGGGCGCGGTGGTTGTCATGGTCGACTGACCATGACTGCGCGCGCCACGGCACGACCTGGCCCCCCATACACACAACACCAGGATTTCACACAACGGGGGTTGAACGGCGTGTCTCTCACTTGCGTGAGAGTGCCGTGGAAGGTGCTGTTTCAGCCAGTCCCCCGCCCACCAATACGCCACTCCACACAACACACACACACACACAACGCGACGAACTGCGTGAACCGAGAGCAGGCCTCAATCAGCAACCTTCCTATCCACGACGCCTGACGTGTCGGGATAGTCTCGGACACAAGTCACCCGTGCAGCCGAAGCCGCATGGGGACCGAGTCGAGATGCGGACTTCCCACTTGCGTGGGAGGTGGCAGTTGGGTGCATGAGGTGTGTGAGCGTTGATTTCTGGTGGGGTGATGGTGGTGGTGGAGGAGGAGGAGGAGGAGGAGGAGGTAGGGGGTAAGTGAATGTGCGGTGTGACCGGCGGTTGTCTACCGCTGGTCGTCGTTGATGCGCATGTGGCCGAAAAGGCCCATGCGATGCCTGAAAGTGCGAGGACAGTGTGGGCAGTTGAGACGAGCTTGGTGGGTATAGGTGGGTGCTCGAGGCACTGGTTTGCCACCCTAGTAGCAAACTATATCGAGACGATATCTATTAGATATCTATTTTTCGAGATACCTATATCGGTTAGATATCGATTTTGTCCGCGGTCTAGATATCGACTAGATATCTATTTTTCGAGATACTCCGAAATCGGCGATAAGGACACGTTAGGGCATGCGCATGCTGCGGTTACTTGTTCTTATACCCATATCTAATTTTATTATTGTCTGTTCGCCTTAGTCATTCCCATCCCGGCTTACTAGGCCTGCTGTTGCTCACTTTATAACGCGTTGAACGAGAAAATTCACGTGGCTATTGCAACCGAAGTAACTAGATCGACCAAAAAGAACTATTTTGAAGGCGTGTTAGAAGGGAAAAAGTTTATTGGATTAAAAAATAATTTAAAGAAGGTTAATTACATAGAAACCTCTTGCGTGGATGATGGTCCATCACTCATTGAACATCCTGCTTGAACATTCGCTTGACGAAGTCATCTACATTGTGCCCACCAAGGCATGTGAGGTAGGACGTCTAATGCAAGAGGGAGTTACAAATAGGGTAGCATACCAATTGCTTTCGGAAGCTATTGTCCAGTACTTGGTTTCGAAAGTCATCGGCGTTCTCCTGTGGCTCCTAAAAAGGTATACTGGTGTTATTTTCCATCACTTACTGGAAAGTCTCATTTCCATACCTCTTAATACGACGTATTCGTGTTCTCCGGGATCCCTGCCTAAACATAGTTAACATGGAAGAGTAGCAAACAAGAGATATAAATCAGTAATGGCAAGTAAGTGCAAGGCCTGTCAACTCACGCGTTCCACGCCGCTCACGCGAAATAATGGCGCGGCCGCGTGTGCGCGCAATCGATAGACGACTAAAGAACGGCAACCAATGAAATGTCAGATTGCATGAGCGAGGTGGCCAATTACGTGATATCTCGATAAATCGCTATTCACGTATATCTACTCGATATCTATTGCTACTAGGGCAGTCTCTGTGCGATGGATTCGCAAGTGACCGACCAGGCCGATGCGTGAGGTGAATGTGCGTGGACAGTGTTGGCATGAGAAGTCGGCGGTGTCCGTGTCAGCTACAGAGGAGGCGGTGGTGGTGGTGGTGGTGGCGCGAACGGATGGAAGGAGGGTGGGGGTGTGCACGGTGGATGTGTTGGATGTGGTGGGTGTGTCGGGAGTGCGGTCAAGGCCGCTCTCGAGGATGCGCATGTGGCCGAAAAGGCCCATGCGATGCCTGAAGGTGCGAGGGCAGTGTGGGCCGTGGAGGCGAGTGCGGCGGGTGTACGTTGGTGCTTCAGGCACTGGTTCGTCAGTCTCTATGCGATGGATTCGCAAGTGACCGACCAGGCCGATGTGTGAGGTGAAAGTGCGGTCGCAGTGAGGGCAGGTGTAGTCCTGATCCTCATCGCTGGAGTCGGGGGAGGTGATGGTAGTGTCGGTTGTTGCGCGCGGGACAGTCACCTGAGCGGCCGTCGTTGGAGAAGTGGAGGAGGAGGAGGAGGAGGAGGAGGATGGAAGTGGTGGGTTAGAAGAATTGGCAGAGTTAGTTGGCAGCGGTGAGGAGGAGGAAGAGGCGGGAGGGGGGACGATTGTTGGTGCAGTTCGAGAGGCACAGTTAATCCGAAGATGTCCAACAAGTCCGATTCGAGCCCGGAATGTCCGTTGACATCGAGGACACGTTGGAGGCGGTTGTGCGGCGGCGTTGCGGACTGGGCGAAGTTGTGATTTGCGGAATTCACGTTTCGCTTTGGCGGCAGCGATGCGGTTGGCTTCGTAGATCGCAGCGCCTGTCTTCACTGTCCTCCTCCAGGTCGGCCGATCGAGTGCGAGCTCCTCCCAGTTGGTGGGGTTGATGTGCAGGCGCATCAGGGAGGACTTCAGGGTTTCCTTGTAACGGCGAATCTGGCCTCCTTGACGGCGAGAACCCGTCGCGACGTCTCCGTAGAAGAGTCGTTTGGGTAGTCGCTCGTCGTCCATGCGCACCAGGTTGCCGCTCCAGCGCAGCTGCATTTGCCTCAGTATGGCGTAGATGCTGCGGATTCCAGTCCGTTCCAGAACATCAGTGTCGGGGATTCGATCCTGCCAGTTCAGCCTCAGGATGCGACGAAGACAACTGAGGTGGAAGTGGTTCAGACGGCGTGCCTGCTTTGCGTACACCGTCCAAGTCTCCGCTCCATACAGTAATGTCGGCAGGACGACCGCCTTGTACCTCTTCAGCTTTGTGCTCAGCTGAAGACCGTGGCGATTCCAAACGGTGCTTTGGAGGCGACCGAACGCTTGACTGGCTTTCGAGATCCTGTTGGCGACTTCGTCGTCGATCTTGGTGTTGCGGGGGAGGGTACTGCCCAGGTACGGGAAGTTCTCCACCACTTGCAGTTGGATTCCGTTCACGCTGATTTGCGACGACGCGTTGGGGGCTGTGGCTGAGTTGGGTGGCGGTTGATGCATCACCACCGTCTTCTGCGTGTTGATAACCAGCCCAAAGTTCTCGCAGGCGGCGGAGAATAGGTCCATGCTCCGTTGCATCTCCTCTTCCGAGGTGGTGTTCAGGGCGCAGTCGTCGGCGAAGAGAAGTTCGTGGACAGTGGTTGTGGATACGCGCACTGGGAGTGCATCCGCCGTTGATTCAGCAGGTGACCGTCCGTCCTGTAGGCGATGCGGATCCCGGGGCGTTCGTCGCGGTAGGCGTCCATCAGCATGGCAGAGAACATAAAACTGAAGAGGGTTGGCGCCAGCACGCAGCCCTGCCTCACTCCATTGGTCACTGCGAATGCCTCTGAGACAGCTCCGTTGTCCGTGACTCGCGCCATCATACCGTCGTGCAGCTGACGCACCATCTGAGTAAATCGCTCCGGACAGCCGAATTTCTGCATGATCTTCCACAGTCCTTCACGATTCGCCGTTTCGAAGGCTTTCGTCAGGTCCACGAAGGTAGAGTACAGGTGGGTCCGCATCTCCTGGCACTTCTCCTGAAGTTGGCGGGCTGCGAAGATCATATCCGGGGTCCCACGATGACGACGGAAGCCGCATTGGCTTTCCGGCAGGAGGCCCTGTTCCAGATGGTTATTGAGGCGGTTGAGCAGGATGCGAGCGAAGATCTTCCCGGCGATGTTCAGCAGGGAGATTCCGCGGTGATTGTCGCAGACTTGGCGATTCCCTTTGCGCTTGTAGAGATGCACGATGGTTGCGTCTTTGAAATCTTGCGGGACTTCACCTTGACGCCACATCTCTTGGAAGAGCGCAGTCAGGTGATCCATGAGTTGGGGACCTCCGTGCTTGTAGACCTTAGCAGGGATTGCGTCCGATCCGGGTGCTTTCCCGCTGGAGAGCTGCTGCACGGCCCTGATGGTCTCCTGGAGAGATGGCGGGAGGTCGAGGTCCGCGCTGGTCTCCACTTGCGGCAAGCGGGCGATGGCGGCGTCGGAGATAGCAGAGGAGCGGTTGAGGACGCCTCGGAAATGCTCGGCCCATCGCTGTAGGATTTGCTTCTTCTCAGTCAGGAGAGTGTCGCCGTCGGCGCTGAGGAGAGGAACAGTGCCCTTCGTCGGCGGACCGTAGATAGCTTTGATCGCAGAGAAGAAGTTCTTCCATTCGTTTCGGTCCGCGTACCCTTGGATCTCCTCAGCTTTGCGAGCAGTCCAGGCGTCCTGCATCTCGCGCAGTCGTTGCTGCAGTTGGCGGCGACTGCGGTAGGAGGCAGCTTTGTTGTCCTCAGTGGGGTGATCTACGTAGGCTTTGTGTAGGCGGTTCTTCTCAACAAGCAGATTTCTAATGGCAGCGTCGTTGTCGTCGAACCAGTCCTGGTGTTGGCGGGGAGCGCGACCGAGGACAGCGAGCGCCGTCGACTGGACCGTGTCTCGCAGTTGACACCAGCGGTTCTCCACAAAGGCGTTCTCGGCAGCGGCGGCGTCGTCGGCGGCAGCGATAGGAAGGTTGTCTAGCCGTTGAGCTAGCTCATTGCTGAAATGGAGATGGTGAGCGGGCAAAGACAACAAGGCAACATTCAGCTTACCTGGGGGTCGCTTACCTTGTGGTCTCCTGCGAGGCTGTGGGCGAATACGCATCTTCGAGATGACGAGGCGATGGTCGGTCCACCCGTCTGCGCCCGCGATCGCCTTCGTCACCAGCACGTCCCGCTGATCTCGCCTCCGGACGAGGACATAGTCCAGCAGGTGCCACTGACGCGACCGAGGATGCCTCCAGGTGGCCTTCTCTCGCTCCGGCAGACAGAAGAAGGTGTTCGTCAGGATGAGGCGGTGTTCTGCGCAGGTGCGTAGAAGCAGCAGTCCGTTGTCGTTGGAGCCGCGGAGACCGTGGGGACCCAGCACTCCTCTCCAGGCAGTATGGTCTGTGCCGACGCGGGCGTTGAAGTCACCAAGGACAATCAACTTGTCCGCCTTCGACACAGTCGCCAGGAGGGCGTGCAGGTCCTCGTAGAATTTGTCTCTGACGGCGTCGGGGTTGGTCATCGTCCGAGCGTAGGCGCTGATGATTGTGGCGAATTTGCCCCCCCCCCCGCCGGAGAGGCAGACGGAGGCTCATCAGGCGATCGTTGATGCCCTGCGGCAGGCTGGGCAGTCGTCCCACGATGTCGTTCCGAATGGCGAAGGCGACGCCCGCGTCCCGTCGCTCTGGCCTGGGCCGACCGCTCCAGAAGAAGGTGTAGCCGGCACCCACCTCCTCCAGTTGGCCTTGTTCGGTGAATCGGGTCTCGCTGAGTGCGGCGATGTCCACCTTGTAGCGCGCCAGTTCCCGTGCCACTAGCGCCGTCCTTCGTTCCGGTCGGTTGCTCCTCGGATTGTCTAAAAGGGAACGAACATTCCAGGCTGCCAGAGTGAGCGGACTCACCCTGCCAGTCCGGTGACAACGAGTGGGGCGACGGGAAGGAGGTGGAGAAGAAGATGGCGAAGGAGAAGAGTAGGCAGAAGAATAGGCAGAGGAAGAGAAAGAAGAGGTAGGATGAGGAGAATGAGTGTGGTTGTTGTTGTTGTCGTTATTGGTAATGTTGTTGTTTCGATTTTGATTGTTTCGACCATGGTTAGACGTCTGCGGCCCTGGCTAGCCTGAAGACGGCGTGGTGCCCAGCAATGTTTAGGCCACCTTTTCTAGGCCCTTCCCCTCGTGGGGGCTGGCAGTGCCATCCCTGAAAAGGGCTGCCACGTGCCTTTGTGGCACGGCCGAACTCCACTATGGGGCCGCGACTTCGGGTTGTAGTGGAGAGCGACTCGAATTCGCCGTAAGCCGCGGTCTCCGACGGCGTAGGTGGGCGCGTCAAGGCGATGTCGATGTGAAGATCCATCCCGTCACCGGCTGTCCAGCGGCGTGCAGAGACGAACCACGTCACGACGGTGCCGACGCAAGGTTCCACCCGACCTTCCATCCAGCGGAATCCGCTAACCCTGCGCACACGGCACAGCGCACAGGGCCCCCTCACCTGGTTTAGCCCGCCGGTCGAGACGGTTGCCCGGGGTGTGGCCGCTGAGCAGAGCCCAGCTACGTGGAGCCACAGGTGAGAGTTGAGTGCCAGCAAGTGAACGCTAGGCGTAGTCTCACCTGCAGGCAAGTGAGCGACCACCACGACCATCACGTGAACCCACCGCTGACACCCCTACACCCCCGTTGAAATATATTCGTACAATTTCTTATGCTAATACATGTCCTGGGTTCCAGTTACGCATCTGAGCGACTTCTACATTGAAAGGATAGTAATTTACTCGCGAGAGTTTTCATAAATAGATTTAGCCGGACTATAAATTTTATTTTATGTCGGGATATTGCGCTTTTCAAAATAAATCGACATTTCTAAACAACGCAACTTTGTCTATAATGTTTCTTTTGTTTTTAATTCTTTTAAACCTGTACTCAACTAGCATAGATATTCGACTCATGAAATGTTGTCGGTTTGCAAGTGATTGGCAATCATTCGTAAATTTCGACACATTTCCTGAATTAGGTCACGCACTGTAATTGTTGTTGTCAGTGCAATGTCTGCGACGGCCTGCAAATGGATGCCAAAATAAAGCCCCATTTGTGTTGACCCACAGCCCACGGACAGTTAGGTGCGGTCCTTTACCATACCGTTGCCGAGCTCGGTAAGAAAATCAATCCGACTACCAGTTCAAGATGAGGTGTGGAGGAATCCGCCGTAAAGAGTTTGGCTGCGGTCCACTGGATGCCACTCTAGAGAGAAGACTGAATGCCCTAAAACACAGGGTGTCACCCAAAGAAGCTGGACCTGATAGAAACATCAACGCTGTCATGAGATGACCATGCACACATTCCACGAGGCCGTCGACAAAGGTTGATAGCCCGCGGTTGTTATGTTAGCGCACCTGAGCAGTTTGGTAAACTCATGGAAGAGACTGGGTTGTAATTGGCTTCCTCGATCATTGGTAACGGTAACTGGCACAACAAAGGCGGAAATCCAGTTGTGCAGGATGACTATGGCAGTATTTTATACTGAAGTATCGGAGTTCAGAGCTGCTACCTCAGTGTGGGTGACGACGAAATGAGTCCAGTCGGGTCGACATGGCTCGCGCAGGTATACAGGCGGTCTTTTGACACCCTGAGTAGGTTCATAGGAGTTAGTTGATTGAGATTTCCAGATCCCCTGCAACGGCTCGTCGCACATGCAAGCGCTATACAGGACATCATACAGGCTAGTCGCGTCATGTATGGTCAGAGCCCCAATACGGGACCTTGCGAGTCGCAACCGTCGGTGACCAACACTCCCGAATAGAGCAGTGGTTGCTAGCTTAAAGTGGGTTACAACGGGGGAGCCTTCTGCAACACCTGTTTCAACCCCTTTTCCTCATACACGGTGTTTTGCTGGCAGGACAAGGGAGGAACGACCCGAGCCGGGCGTGAGCCTAGCGGGCAGTAACACCAAGACCCCCGCCCTCGTGTGCCACACACGTCCCGACCCCTATGCCACACGAACCGAACCCCAATAACTACATCTCACCGAGGAATGTTACCATACTGGCCCCATTTATGGAGTCAGTGCACAGCAACACGAGGAACAGAGTTCTGTTGCTAGCTAATAACCTCCCAATCAACAGTTCCTATCGTGTTCTGATGGTTTAGGGGCACACGGAAGCTACGATAGCGAGGAAAAAACGCGAAGAATCGGCCTCTTCTCTGAGACATCGTGTACTGGTGGCAAGATACATCCCATCCGACTGGGGATTTCGGGAGCAATGTCTGACGTCACTCAGAGCTTGAGTATATCCAGTTTCGCATGCAGCAAGTCGTATATTTACCTACGGACACTTCTGTACTTTAACGCAGGAACCTTTCTGCCTTCCTCCCAGACAATAGATTGGATTTGCAGCCTATTTGTGTTGGCTGGCGACAACGAACTCGCGCGTACTTGAAGAAGAATGAAGTCATGCGCTGATTACTGAACTCCACAATCAGGAGACGCACGTCTGTAGTAGCCTTTGAACCACAGTGGTCGGAAGACTTGCGTAAAATTTTTACGAACTAAAAATAAAAGCCCCTTTAGATTAACTGTGCAGCGAAAACCGGAAGGTTCTGAAACGATATTTAAGTTGAGAAGAAACAAAGGCAGATGACGAGTTTATTCATAGAATAATTCTCAAACGGCAAAGAATTAAACTATCGCCAAACATCTACTATATATCGTTTCGACGCTCGCAGTGAGGTCAGAAATTCATCAGATTCAATCGTGGAGAGACCTCCTTCGTTCTGCGCGATCCGCAGCAAAGTGCTCTGAACGTCCTTGACTAGGCGACCAGCACTCCTAGGAATATGGAAGAGAACAAGGTGGTACCTGTCTTTTCTATTGGAGCCAAAATATTTTTGTCAAAGTCGTGAAAACGCCCAGTTTTCAAAAAACAAAACTAAGTGCGTCTATTACAGGGATGCAGTTGACTATTGTAAAGGGGATTTCGTTTGAATTCTCGAATAGAGGCGTCACAGGAATGAAAGTTTTCCGGAGAACATGTCGGAGGCGAGCCAGTGACCATTGAGCGTATGGGTCGACATGGCGGTCGATACTGCTTGTGCTGGGGTGTCAACCCTCAAGGAATCCTTGTCTGGCGTTAGCCATGGCGACAACTTCAGTATATGGGAAGCAAGGGGTCTCTAGATCGATCGCCAAGGCAAAACAGGACGAGCACGCCACGTAACCAGATCAGTGAACACTTCCGACATCGTTAATATTTCCGATCGTAACCGACAGGACGAGTCCGTAGTTCAATTAGTAGAGCATCGGACATACTAAAGTCGGTTTACAACACGATGCAGGATAGAGGCCAGGGTGCTGCAAAACCTAGGTTCGGGTGGGGCCGTCTGACGACGGTTAATTAGCTAGAAACCGTCATCCTGGTCTTTGTCGGCAATCTCCTTCAGCCTGCGCGATTGTCTGTGGAGCTCTATATCGAGCCCCAAAGCACAACGGGACGAGCATATTCTGTAACCCGATCGGTGAACGCACTTCCGATAAGGGGTCACGTCGGCGAATGGCTAGTGTGTCTTCGTTAATGCGGATCCCAAGTCATCGCCCTGTATGGCCAATGTAGGCGCAACAGCAATTGACGCATTTATGTCATAAATAACATTATTTTGCTACTCTTTTTGTGTGGGGTCCATCACTCAGGAGCACAGGGGGGGCGCCGACTTGTGGGCGATGCAGATGTCAAGCTGGATTAATTGTCGACTGGATAGAGGCAGCATGCATTCCAAGTCAACATGACAAAAAGGGACGTTATTCGGAAAGAAATCAAGTTGTGCTCGTGAATTTCTACTTGGTGACACCAACCCGTAGTCAACAGAAATGAGCGCAAACCGCTCCATTTGCTTCCCGAAGCAAACATGCTCCGAATGCAAAAAGCAGGCAGAGCTCGCCCGAGCTATGATAACAGAGGAAAATTACGACAAAGAATCGGATAAACTGACAGACGGAATAATCCCCGTGTTCTGATATAAGCGTGTGTGCGCGCACAGTTTTTCCACCTTAGACATGCCACGGGTGTTCTTTACCATTATTATGTTTGTTTGAAAAGTAAGACAGAATAACAAAACGGAGAACGAGCTTCATGCTGTGTTTGGCCCGACATTCGCCGCGGGCTATATGCGCCACACGCGTGCTGGTTCCTCTACAATCCGGCTGTGCTTCATAAACCGGACACCACATCCGTGGGGGCACTAGAGAAGCCAAATTTTAAGGTCTCATTACAGTAGGGTTCCTGATTTAAGAAACCAATGCACGGCACTCGCTGGGGACCCCCGCTGGGCTAGTCTGTAATTGTTAAGTCGTCGCAATACGTTCAGCGAACTCTGATTGTCTTCTAGGGACCACTACTGATAAAAGTTAACGTGGTGGCTAGTCGGTCCACTTGTGTCGGAGCTCATTCCTCGGCTGCACTAAACAAACAAATTAGACTTCACGTGCAAAGTCCCACAGTCAGAATACAGACCCTCGGACGCCAATGAACTGTGATGCACACATACCCACAGACAAAGAGGACGCCATTTTCACGGCTCAGCAGTCTCCAGATCTTTGCCGACAATTCGAGCATCTTATCCTGCACATAGACTTTGGAGGGCTGGTCCCTTGAGAAGGCACACTGCAGGTCGGTAATCACACCCGTAGCGAGTGCTTGGGAAAGTTCGTTGGAAAAAAGGAAGTCCTGCGAACGATGACGACAGCCGAAGAAGAGCATGGCTTCACCAAGACGACCACCTACAACAGCAAAACCGAAGGAAGTAGTTAACCACTTTGGTAATTGAAGTAAATAGGACGAGTTGGCTTTCCTGTTAGATGCCCTAATAGCGTCCCCTGAGTCCCTACTATTGAGGAAATGGTGCGAGCCGGGGTCACAGGGGTGGAAACAAGTGAACCATTAAAAAAGGAAACAGTACCGTGATACCTGGGAGGCTCTTTTACGATCATTTTCTGTTTAAATAACACGTGTCGTAAGGGGCAGCGCAGCGTTTAAAGAATGTCTCCCTATATAAGACAATCTACGATCAACCAAAGGCATTGCACTGCATCGCAGGTTTTTTTTACGAAGACGTAAACAAAAAGTAGATGAGCGACAATTCACCTTTCGCAATTGACGATGGACAACTTCATCAGGAGATAAGCGTGAAAAGTATATGCACATATTGTCTTTTTGAACCTTCCCAACGCACAGATAACGTTCTAGGGAGTTTGTATATTGGTATTCGCGTATGAAAAAATGCATGCGACGTTATTTTCCTCACAGTGCCGAATCGAAGAAAATAAACCAGCTATGAAGTTCTGCCTCACTTGCCATATTCGCTAAATCTGTCATCTGTCAGCTAAAAATGTCTTCGGAGTTGTCAAGTCTGTAACTACAGAATTCATGGACAAGAATCATGTCGATCCTAAGCTAACCACCAAAATCTGTCATGTCATATGCCATTTAACTGGGACGATAATATAGGCAGAATAGCACTACCGACAAAGACAAGGGGGACTGAAATGACCAGTTTTGGCTTATTAGCCATTGTCAGTCAGTCATACCCAACCCCGAGGTATTCGATCCCCGAGGCTCGAACTCGCAAACCGTTGGTTCGAAGTCCAACGTCCTAACCATTGAGCTACGGGTTTGTTGTCTTGTCGGTTAAGATCGGGTATATCAACAATGGTAGAGGGACGCAAATCGATCGCAGTACGGAACGATAACTATTCGGTCGGCCACACCTGCGTCGTTAAGTATCACCCCAATTACAAACAGGTTTGATGAGTGAGGAAGTTGTTAATTTCCGTGTGGCAGCCGTACAATGTCCGATGCCAGCACTACGTACCTTTTGACTTGATGAAGGAACGCTCCTGAAGGAAACCACGAAAGGGAGCCACGCCGGTGCCCGGACCAATCATAATTATCGGGATGAGTGGATTTCGGGGAAGGCGCATTTCCGAACGACGCAGAAAGACTGGAACCAAGTGAGACGGCGACATCTCGGGGAGTCGAGAAAGCCAATCAGAGGCCACGCCAAACCGCAAACGACCTGAATAAGGGGAAGTGAACTTTTCTTGGATTGGGATAACATTCTGGGAAAAATAAAATAACAAAGGTCGCCTAACATTACAATTGGCTGCTTGACAGTTTGTTCAGTCGAGAACAGTAAAATCATAACTGCAGTTCGGAAGCGCTAATCAAAGGATAGAAGTGAAAAAACGGAAGCCGGGAATTAATAGGACATAGCATGTGTTGATGGTAATCGACGTGTTCTAGTATAAATGACACAGTTCCTCCAGAACGAAATGAAACACAGAATCGTTCACAGCCCGTCTTACCAAAAACCGCTACAACTTCAACCAGCCGATTCTAAAAGAAACCATCTTCTAAGCTGTCAAAGGAGACTGAGACAGCCTTTATTTGTGCTGTGAAGCCCTGTTTAAAGGGGAATGGAGATGGCGCTGATCAGTACGTGATAGCAACGCTGGTGAAAACAAGAAAGCACACTATACGGCGTGACTTAACTAATAAAGTGATGAAAAATTGTATCCGACCACCAAAGTCATAGCGATGTGTGAGCTGACGGGACCGGTAAAGTTAGGGGAAAAACGGACGATAAAATGCCCATTACTCACCTAGTGACGTCTCATACTTCACCACAGCGACAACAAGATGAACCCTGTCGGGAAACAGCCTCGGTGAGGAAGCAATGCTATAATACCGGGGTTGCAGACGAGGTAAGACACTCAGAAGGTCCTTCGCCACTGGCCGACAACAGGAAAGGTCCTCCAGAAGGTCAACCAGATGACGACGTTCTGCCAGAAACCACTTTTCGTACTTTTTCTGGAATAAAAGGTACACGGGCATTTTCATAATTATGTGCTCCAATCACTTACCAGAAACTGTTATTCACATTCTGGCGGGTACTGCCCACCGAAATTTGTTAATAGACTTATGTGGAGAAAAATGAACGCAATATTTTCATAAGAGGACCGCAACGGATTCGGCCCTGCAGTATTGTCCTACTGTCCCTTAACCCCGAGCGAGCTAGTAAGGTTTCGAAGCGATGTCGCAAAACTTAATAACAGCTATTTTAAATTCCCGGGTCTCGGCGATTTACTACTACCTGACGATTTGAGAGTCGCAAAAGACGACGTCCACCGCCTGACCCACGGAAGGGGGGCAGCACCGGTGACTTGTGGGTAGATTAGTTTACAGCGAGACAGGCTTGCGCCGTATCTACTTCTCTCTCTCTCTCTCTGTCTTCTCAGTCACTCACTTTGCTCCCGTGACAAGACGATGTCAAAAGGACCGAAGACGGACGCGCCAGCAGTGACTAGTAAACGTAAACAGTCCGTCTACGACTTGGTCCCTACTACATGTACAAGACTACATTAAGAGGCATGCTTCTCGTAAAAATGGAATGCGCATGTACTGGCATGCGGTGTTTCGTTTTTTACGATGAAGACGATAAAGTGGATCGCATGTTTGCTGTAGGAGAGAATATATCGTGTTGCTTTGTTGGCGTGTACGTGGGTATTGTGCTATAGATTCACACGTAGCGCAGGGGTGTGTGAAGAGGTAGGGCGAGGTGAGGTAATGAGGTATGGAGTGCAGTTTTATCGGAAATTTGCATGGGGGCGCATATGGCCAAATAAGCTCATGTGATGGCTGGGGTACTGAGGCAGTGGGCAGGTGAGGTGGGACCAACGGGTGTATGTCGGGGGCTCCTGGCATGGGTACTCCGGTCTCATTGAGATGGACTCGCAACCGACCCACCAGGCCGTTGCGCGATTCAAAAGTGTGGTGGCAGTAATGGCAGGATGAGACGGCGGCTACAAGGCTGGTGATGACGACACTGGTGGTGTAGATAATAGTGCTGGTGGCAGAGGAGTTTTCGAATGTATGATGCGGGTTGATTGTGGTGGCGAAGTGATGCATCGGGCTGTCGTGAAATTAATTCCACATTGCTGTTGGTAGGGGAAATGGAGGCTACGCTTTACGGTATGGTAGAAGAGTCCTTAATGGTAGAGCTAGTAGTGGTGTGTCGTGAGACACGAGGCAGGCTGGTCGTGCTGCAGGTGCATCGGGTCCACTGATGTCAAGCGAGACCGATCCGTATCCGGAATGTCCGTTGAAAATGTGGACTCCAGGTATTACCATAAACAGAAAGTAACGACTAACGCGAGGAAACTACTAACGGAAGGCACATTTTCCATGACGGACTCAATAGCCAGCCTCGGAAGCAACGAAACAGAAAGTGATTAATAGTTTAGTATATCAAAGGGGTATACAGAACAAGGGAAACTGCTGTTAACCACTTTTGCCGTCATACAAACGGACATATCCCAAACTAACCCAACGTAAAGCAAACCCTGAGTATTTAGAAGACCAAGTCTTCTACTTTTTTGGTATTCGCATTACCCATACTCTTCCTACAGCGTCGCTAGGGCCGAAAACGTGAACAAGCAGTTGATCGGTGAACTGATTGAATTGCTCAGGTGCTCGTATAGACTAAACTTTTGTTCGTGGAAGAATGCAAACAGACGGCATATTTACAGAGGAAGAGGTGGAGGTGAGCTTATATATGAGCAGATCATATATGAGTGTGTGCGCCCTCACCTGTTCTTCACGTCATGAAAGCAGTAACAGCATCAGAAACTGCGAACCCACACTACCTACAATGCTACCATTACGGAAGATATGGTTGACTTTACATCGTATCTACACTGCCGGTCTAGAAAAAAGGTATCTCCAGTAATGGTATGTTAAGGGACAAGTAGTACCAGCCTAAATCTCTACCAAAAGAAATTACAGGCTACTGTGCCAAAGCAGAACTCGGTTGGAGGTTAAGTGAGGAAAGGAAACGTGATAAGAAAAGCGATGGGTGTGTGAGGGACCCAGTGGACTACCACAGATGCAAGTGGGTAAGGGAGGGAGTCTTATGGCAGGTTTTAGGATGTCGTAGGAAGAATATTCCAGGTCCGAAGGACGAAATATGCAGGGAGAGTAGCGATTCGTGTGGATGAATACATGATCAAGACCAGAATTGATTGTGCAAAGTAGCTGGAAAGAAGCTGCTCATGCGGCATAGGGGTAACTGGATGAAAATGAGCAAAACATACATTTCCTGCCTCTGTGCCAGACGCAAGCAGCCGGAGAAGATCTCTTTCTGCCTCGCTAGACGTAGCCGCAGCCAACTTCCTCAAAAGCGAAAAACGAGGGGGCGATGTGATGTCAAGATAGTGCGTAAATGCCGTCCTATAGCTGCAGGGCGTTGGAAAGCTAGTCTTGACGGGTAGGCCTAGAGTTCACGAAAAGGGTGACAATTAGCATAGGTGGATGCATTCACTCCTAGCTCAACCAATTCAGAAGTCAAAATTTGTCAAGAACTCAGCAAAAGGACATTCGCCGTTGTCTTCTAGAAGTTATGATACAGTAGTTTGCAGTCGTGAGAACTTTCATGGGAATGCTACGAAAACGGTAGGCCAATCAAGTCCTCCATGGTATTTCTAACTCGCAGGCGGAAACTGCACAGTGGTAATAGAACCTTTGATGCAGAATGCAAACCGAATGCATCGAAGCTGACGATGCAAACTCACCGACAGAATCCGAGAAGTGAATTAATTGTTCAGGATCCACTTTTAGCAATGCACAAAGTTGATTGACAAGGCGCGAAGAGTTGCACGGCACCACGGCAAGATGATCGCCGGCAGCGTATCTGACGTCAGGAGTAAAGTAGTCTGATAAGGCATGGATGAGATTGAAGCCGAACATAGAGGTCAGGAGAAAAAGAACTGAGGGCTATTCACCACACCTCCGGAAAGTCGGGTGTTTTCCCAGAATTGTGTAGCTATGACGGGTACGGTTCATCAGTGGGTTCTATTTCATCAGTAATCGCATTGAGAGAGGAATGATGTTCCACTCATAAACCGAATCCCCATAGTTGCGACAGGCAGCGGCACAAAGCCGGTAAAACAAGCATGGGCTTTACGTTGATACCTGTACCAGGTGTATCGTAAATAAATCTGTTTATATGCTACTGACCGCATCTTTACGCGTCATGAGTATTACACAGTTAGCCCACCGAAGTTGATGAAATTAGGCTCAAATATTCATAGGGACTTTCGGGCCGAACTTGAACAGACTTGTCCCGTGGACTTTACTCCAACTACGCAAATGAATTTCTAAAGAGGAAAAACAGCTTGGTCCATAGGTTGCTAGAATTTTCGAACACTTTCGGGGTTCCGTCCGCATTCGTGAGATCCTCTTTAGTAGAAAAAAAGTCTAACAATAGAACATAAGACAATTTCTTAAGAGATCACTGGCGTGAAAGCGACAACTTGCATTTCATGAATAAAATCCCTCCCAACAATGCCTTACAGGGGAGTTTGCACCAACGACGTACATCGTAGTCGTCACAGTTTCCTCAAAGAACAGAAATGCTGAAACGGCAAGACCACTAAGAGGTTTTCCGGTAAGGCGCGTAGGTAGTCCTTGTATGGGGCCACAGAAGGCCTTCGCCGAACTTATCAGGATGCAACTCGAATCAATCCAATCCAACATTACACATATTGCACTAGTTCCCAAATTAAGAAGCGGTCCTGCCTTCAAGGGGAGTAAAAGTGTGCTTCTAAAATAGTTCGTTCTGTTCGATTTCAGTGAAGTTGGTCTTAGTTGTATTAGGTAGCATACACAGAAAAAAGGAGGTTGCGAGCCAACAAAAAACGGTTGATGCAACGTAGTGCGCAAAGGTTACTCACTTGAAGCCTGAAGTGGAAATGTCCAGTTCTATTAGTCGGCACGATCGCTCGTAACCCGCGGCATACAGTTCCTCACTGTGAATAACAGGCGACAGAAAGGGATTCTTGGCCGAAAACGGGCTGAAAGTTGTGTGAGAAATGGACGTACAAGAATTTTACGGTAAATGGGGTAGAAAGCCCAGGTAATTTCGTATTGGAATCTAGGCGAAGTCCCTAAACAAATAAAACAGTAACCAACTACCAATAATGCATAGGTGGGATGGAAAATGATCAAACATGCAAACGTACACGACAATGCACAGGTATCAATCAACGCGTGACTTCAAAGCATTGCAAGAATAAGCACGGGTGAGAGATTTAGACCAAAAGTGGCTCGATGACTAGTTTAAATTGAAGCGGAAACTGTCGGTTTTCCGTTAAAACTGCTCTTTGAGTCAGTAAGAAAGCCAATGCCACCGGGATTTTCGGAGGGAAAATTACTTCCATTACTTATCACTGAAAGTGCGCCAATCAATGAAAAATATGAGAGAGTTGGAAACTACCCGCAGCAGACGTAACAACGAGACCGAACCCCGACCACATCACGAACCGCGGTTGCTAGGCGTTGCGTGGGACAGTTAGGAAAAAGAGAACGTAGTTTGGCCATGTTTAATGCATTACTGTTTGTCTATTTAATGTTTGCGCTTGCTCCATTCGAATATTTGTTTCGAGTTTAAAGTGTGACCGACATGCGCAAGCAAAATGCTAAAACCAGCAGATTAAAGATGCCCAGGGAGCAAAGCAAGCCGATCATTGCGTTCACGCTCAAACAAAAAGCTACTCCACAGAATTACCTGTCCAAACGCGGCCTCCGATAGAGGTGACCTGGCTCAAATATCACAATTGCCATAATTACGAGCTATTTTACGCTCAAGGTGGTAGTTTGCAATAACAGCGGTTGCTGAATGGTAGATATTCAGCAGCCCTATGGGAAGCAGTCGGAGCATGTATACGTCCTTGAATCCATGTAAGCATACAGGCTTATTTAGTAGGCATAGGGACGATGCTGAAAACGCAGAAGGTAGCAAAAGGCATATAAGTGGTTGGAGCAGAGGGACTGGAACAGTGCATTCGAATGTAGCCTTACGTGGGAGTCATGCACGTGATTTAAACGCTGCACACACCCGTTCTAGTCCCCAACCAATCCTTACTGATCAAACAAAGGTAACGCCACGCAACAACCGGTCTGTGCTGAAAAACAAGTTAAGAGATGAACAAAAAAGACCCGCATAGTCATTTTACACTTCACAGTTCGACCGTCGAGTCCTCTATGCCTACCGTGTGTTCCACGTCAAGGTGGGCGCAGGGACGGTGATTTGCGAGTGAGTAATAATTCCGGACTTGCGCAGCGTCTGCCGCACTCTCTTCTCGTTCACCCACCCGGGACCGGCATCATTAGGGAGTCAAGCAAGTTGGGTTCGAGATCGGACACAGTGGCTGACGGAGTTAACGCTTGAGAAATTTGCAGGGCTCACAGGATCAGAGAGCCAAAGCTTGTTTACGCGTACCACATAAGTCAGGTCCGCGAGCAATGTACTAGGTTTTCACACAAAAAGGAGGGTAACTCGGAACCCAATTGAGTGGGACTGCCACAGGAGCCACATTAAGGGGCCATTGAAGCCAGACACCGTCCTGAAAGGAAGAATGGATTATCCCGTCAGTTGATAGCCTTTTAAGCCACGGCTTCTGGCGGACCATGATCGTTTCAAGCGCGTCAGTTTGTCCGAAGTGGGGGACATGAGCTGAGAGTCCACTTCACTATCTCCTCCCTCTCCCAGGCACCAGTCCACTGTCCGGGTCGGTCGGTGAATCAGGTCCAATGGCTGACAGAGCCAATCATATTGTCTGCGCGTTCTACACACGGCCTGGCCTCCAAACACACTACGCCAAGTTTTGACACGAAAGGGCTGGATTGCTCGGATCTCACGCCTTAGAGTGCCATAGAGGTCAGATGGAGGAGAAGCCAAAGAACACGTCTCCAGCTTAGGTGAGAGGTGCTAGCCGATCGAGGAACCCAAATCTTTAGGCAATAACTAGCGCAGAAACCTGCCCGACATGCTAACCAACTACTTACTTTCGTCTCTGCGTATGTGATTCGCACTTATCCTACAAAATATTATTCATCCAGGAAGGCGTTAAAACGCTTTACTTCAAAAGTTTCCTATTTGTTGCATTAAATCTAGGTTTAAGATTTCGAAAACGGGTATCCCGTGGTGCAAAATGTTTCTTGAGTATAATCTACTTAGCTTTTGTTTTTCAAATCCCTTGAATGATTGGAGGTTCAGTTGTTGTGATTTTCTAGTAGTCATGCGTCGCGATAGCAAAACATGCTAGGCAGAAATACATGGAGCAGTTTATTATTCCCGTAGGTGGGGCACTTTTGACAAGAGTTTAAAATATACTGGACTTTCCTCGTCGCCAGTCATTCTGTATCGGTCAGAATATCATCATCAGCTGAAAGAGAACCTCGGGTCGTTGACTAGTGTATGGAAGAAGGAGTGAGACTGATAATGGAAAATTCATCTTTACGGCAAATCAGCGCATTACATATCATAATAAGTCTAACGCGCTTGATTCTATCACAGCGAGCTAAAAGTCGTGGCTTGGAAGGTTGCCAATGGACAGGATAAATCGGTTCTCATTGGAGTATTTTAAAAAGACTGAATAACTGAGTCATGCTGCAATGGATCCGTCTTAATGCGCCACCTACAGCACTCTCACGCATATCAGATCCGAATCACCCGCGTAAAAGCCTGATACATAGAGGGGCAACCTGGTTGTGTATGTGGCGCCCGTAGATAGGCGCACCCTTGGACTTTAAACGGGAGAAAAGTAGGCGGACGAGAGGGTGAGATAGATAACGTACAATTCTGCCTTACTGTAAACTAAGTCACGTGCAAGTCAACGGTTCTGCACCCGCTCACTAAAGCAGGCAGTAACCTCTGCCTTTGATATTTGAACCCTCATGTCAATAAGATCCGGGACCTTAAATTACGTTTAAAGGGAAAGAGCTGTGTCAGCTAGGAAGAGTTTACTCACGGGGCGTTGAATTTGAAAGAATCGAGGATTTCCGGCTCTCCAGTGAAAACGCCACCCAAGTTGGCAGCAGCTTCGGCTGTTATATTTTCAAAAAAGATGGCGCTCTCCAAAACTGAGACAGACATGAGGCCGGTGTCGTCCGCGCAAGGTGTTCGCAAACCAAAGTGCTTGGCCAAGCTGGGAATAAGACTTGACTGCCAAGCCGCAAAGACAGCCTCCAGGCTATCGGCTGCATCACCGAGGGTGAGCTCATGCAGTCTGTATGCGCCCAAGGTGGAAAGCCGGTCATCCACAAATTTCGCAACTGCATTATAGTGTAGGTACGCGGAATCTCCCAAACCAAACACCTACGTGAGAGCATAAAGGTGAAAGTGAAAAGGGTTGGAGAAGCAGGTGAACTTCATTGGAGTCAACAACGAGTGGTCGATGTCTCAAATGCTTAGATTAACGTGCGCAGTCAGTGACCGATCTCATGAAATTTTAACCGAAAGTGTGCGGTGCGTTTTCCATCAGGAAGGATTAGTTAAGTAGGGTTGTAATATCGGTTACTACGCAACATACACCCAAGATATTTCAGACACACAAAGATGCCGGCTTTTAATTGCGCATTTTTCAGACGCCTGCAGAGAATGCACTTGATGAAAGTGACTACTATAAACTTCCCATATTTATCTTCGATGCTTCTGTAAATTCAAGTGTATTTTGTGGGAAACATGCATAAAATATTCTTTGTCGTGCTTATCTGGTAGCAAATCACGTCCCCTTCAAATTTTACACTCGAAGAAAGGGTAACTTTCGGTTTTAAGAATTTCGTAAATATGGGTCTTTGAAAATAAGTAAGATTCTTTGGGAAGGGAATAAACTTTAATGAGTAAATTTTCGAGTCTGGATCCCCAGCTCGTCGTCAGACTTTTGGGCAATGTACAAAAACAGTTAACTATTTAACCGTGTCAAACAAATGATTCTATGGTTGGCCGAAGTCTGCGCCAATGCGCGTCAACGATTTCGTCATCCCTTCGGCATTGGCTGCGCTCGCTTCCATTTGTCCTTGAGAAATTTGTATGTGGCATCTAAATCGATATGCCGATTGATGCATGCCTCATCTGAGTGCATTGCTTCCAGGAATTCGCGGCCTTTCCTTATTGGGCAGGCGCCAACAATGCGGGTGTTCTCCCATGCAAATTTGTGTCCAGTGTCCAGTGTGTGCATAGCCACCTGGGATAAATGATCTCGTCTCCTCACCGCTAACTGATGCTCATGTAAGCGGGTGGAGGCGGATTTCCCAGTTTGGCCAGTTTGGCCAGTTTGGTCTTTTTAAGACCGTGAAGTATTCATCCAAACAGTATCCTATCTGACCATTCAGTAGTGCTGTTCATGTGGTATAGAACATGGTTCACATCCACCGCAAAATTTTAGGAGCCCTGAATGATGTATTCTTAATGGCACAAAGAAATATATGACTTTCCTTACATGAGACGTATACATCTTGCAGACTATAAATGAGCATAAACGAAAATGCAACGCGGATCGGGCTCAACATTATTTGGGGATTGAAAGGCTTTTAAAAAACAAAATATGCCTTTTCTTCGTGAGTAAAACTAGAAGAGGACGTGATTTACTACCAAAGGGGTATAAAAAAAGAATATTTTTGTGTCTGTTTTCAATAAAATATACCTGAACTTACAAGGACATTGAAGATCAGTGTGAAAAGTTCATACTATTTAAGTGGTCATTTGTACCTAGTGCGGTTTTCGTAGGCGGCCGAAAATAAGTCCAGTTAAAAGCCGGCACCTCGGTGTGGCTGAAATACCTTGGGATTATGCGGCAGGATAATCGATATTAAAAGCCCACTTAACTAGTATTTCCTAATCGAAAATGATTTCAGAAGTTTGGTCGACATTTCATGAGATCAGTCATTGACTGTATGTGGCCCGCCTACCAACGAATATGGATTTCCGGACTCGCCGGCATTGCGTTATTTACGCAGAAGAGTAAATGATCGTAGAGAAGTACTAACGTGGCAAAGGGTAGGGGAATAAGATGCACCGACGGGTTAGTTTAAGAACTGAAATAAACAACGACAATTCTGACGGATGATTAACTAACGGTCAAGCCGGGGATGAAAACCCGGGACGAATTAGTCGGCATTGTTGCGTCTGAATACTTTGTAAAACGGTCAGCATGGAGGCACAAAATGTAAGGGTGGCAAAACCACATTCAGGGCAAAAAGACACAAAACACTACCCATCAGCAGTATGTGAAGTTTTATGGAACAAACGCCGACAGGTTGATGGAACAGCAATCCAAGGCACAAGTGGGTGCACAGTCCTGGTTATTTTGAATATGTCGGACAAAACCAGATTTAGAACCCTGTCATATGAAAATGTTGGTTTGGGATGAACCTACAGCAGTCCAGGTTACTGTAGTTTCGTTTCCATAATAGTGGACGAGTATAGAAACTGCAAGTCCTTTGGCTTATTTAATTAGGAATAAGTAGCATTTCCCAAAGTCCGGTAAATTAGCAGACCAAAATTTGCATTCACAACTAAGCTACTTAAAACAGACGACAAATATCAAGTATATTAACAAATGTGAGAGCAACAAATAACCGTGGTGAACATGCGAGTCCATAAGCTGGAAATTGTGCGCCAATGATGGCTTTGAGTGGTGGGACTCAAAATAGATATGGATAATTACCGTAATGTAAAATTAAATTATAAAATCGGGTTGTAAGGGACCGAAGTTTGACCGCAAGTGGGTGGTAATGTCTGTCACAGGTTGGCTTGGTCGGGTTTGGGCAAGGATGTTTGACTCGGAATTTTTTTATTCGAGATGCTAATGAAAGTTAGTGAATAGTTGCCATGTAATCAATGTCTGGTCAAAAAACAACTTACTACGTACTTAAGCCCACGCAAGCTGCCGTCATACGACTTCAAAATCTGAAAGAACATTCGCGCATTCTCTGTTGGCTCCCCATCCCCATACGTAGCCAAGATGAAAATAACAACCGAATCGCTTTCGTGAAGCAGCTCGTAGAAACTATCCTAAAAATGTCAGATAAGACGAAAATAAGCAATACAATCCTCTACGATAAACGGTGATTAATTTACCTACGAAGTTTAGATGCGAAAAAGTTTATTTACTGCTGCACCTTTTGCACAGTCAGTATTATTCATCTTTGAAGAGTAGACGGCCAAATGATTTCTGGGATAAGCTTTTATGCTCAAGTCGCTGGGGAAAATACTGTCGCCCCTGCATTCATTGCAGCACTGTGATAGCTAGTCGACGGCATGTGTGTCGCCTCCATGTGTGGCTAGTGCAGCTACGTGGCTACACCGTAAACAGCATAGCAGTTTTCTAGAAGTTGTAGTCTCCTAAACAGACAGCAACCCCAACTGTCCAAAATTTCCGGAAATAAATTTTTCCTGAAGTCATTTCAGATCCCGGAGGCCCATTCTGGAATTATGACTTTGTTTAATCGATTCCAAACAACCAAAAGACACACCATTGCTACATGAGGTGTCTTCTTAAGTAACACTGCGAGCTTAAGAAAACGCAACGTAAAGAAGGGCACCAGCGGTTGAAACCTTTCGACATACTACGCCTGCTGGTGAAGCCGACCCGCCTGTCTTGTTTCCAGCATGGGCGATTATCTCGGTGGCAGCGCAGTTAAACTCGTGATCCGTTTCGAAGACTTTGACAGCCAGTTGTGATAGTTCGTCACCTCGTCGCGTAACTAGCTTATGTTAGTGTATGTGCGACTCGAGCACGCGTCCAGTCTTACCCATGTAATTACATGACAATGTAGGCAATTGATGTGAAATTCCCGCCCAAGGGCGTTTACAAGCTGATGCCTATGTGTTCGCCCCCAACAGACCCCATCTGAAATACCACCGACGATATGGCATGCCCTGCCTTACAAAGAGGACGTTTCAGGGGCAAATGAGCGCATTGCGGTAAGATTAGGCGTTGGAAATGCCCACCAGCCTAAAGCTACCACGAGCAGCAACGTCATGAAAATCCAAAACCGATTAAATCCAGGGTAGCGGTCAGACGTAGTGTATTGTATCCCGGGCCTAAACTTTCCCTGACTGACTGAACGCAAGCCCGGATCGTGCCCACCTTCGAAACGGGTCAAGACTCTAACTTCGCAGCCAACAACATAATCGTCCGCGCTGAAAACAAGGCAGGCCGAGAGTGTATTAAAACCTGGATCTCGGACGAGAACTCAGTCAATCGACGTGTCGACTTGGCACCAGCATACAGAGTCCTTCGAAGTCCCCTCCACGCCTGCATCATCGTTAGATGACAACCACCGTCTATAACTGTCACCTGTCCTGTTGCTGTACGAGTTTGAAAGCTCAGAAAAATAAAATTGTTCCTGTGCTCGTCCGGTCTTATTTGCTCTTACTCAATCGAAACTATTCTTGTTAAGGAGAGCAGTTAGAAAGTGGGAGACGGTACCGCCAAGATCTTGGTAGGGAAGGGTTGGCGAGAGGGTAAATATTGACGGGCCGGGCAGATTCGTATTTCTTTCTTTTCAACTATCAATAAGCTTGTGTTTATGTACACGTAAACAGGTTCGGGCCAATGTACTGCGGTACTGTGACATCAACCTCTCTTTTTATCTATTTCGGCACAGATAGGTGTGCGTATTTGCCTGATGACGAGCTTGCGAAAGAGCATTGAAAATATGCAAAATAACCTGCGTCTACCCCAAAAAACATATTATATAGGTGTACAAATGTGTAAGGGCAGACACCAGGGGTTGACACAGAGAAAAGACAATGATCCCAAGGTAAAATTACACACTCTTGTGAACATCCGCAAGTGAATTCTTATCTTACGACAACTCTCCCAGGGGTACCATTTTATATACTAAAGATAAGGCAGCGGACTACGCACAGGTGCATCTGGAAACAGGCCGTGATGTCATTCAGAAAAGATAGCTTACCAAGAAAAATACCAAATCACCAACCCCGTCTATGGACAGCGCGTTGTCTAACAACTATGTGTTAGCAACAAATAACATAAGGATGCAATATGGCGATGTGCGATTTAACACGATAGTGGTCCTTCTACTTACGGCATCTAGCCGTCGCACCCAAATTATTCATTTGCGGTAGCAGTACTCTGGGACTCCTACATTTTCAATCATGCATCACGTCCGCCCAGGGCGGAGCATACCTCAAACTTCGTCGCTACTATCAAAGCCAGTCCCGGCCGCCGTGCTTATGAATAAAGCACATTGCGTGCAAGGCTTGCCGACCACGCAGCAATCAACTACCTCTCCCATTACCAAAGGGCTCCCAAATGGCACATACATGCGGCGATTGAACAACCTCGTAAAATTACGAGCGTTTTATAACGCGGCAATATCATCATGGGTTACCAGCTCGGAAAATGTCAAAAGCTTGTAATGTTGCCATTAATGTTTGTCAATGTCCTTTCGTTTTGTCGATATTTGCAATTCTGTTATGAGTAGTACATCAAAAATGGCAGCGAAAGGTGACTGACGATCAGCTTTTAAGATGCTTGACCGAATAAACTTAAGTGAGTCTAGTCTGTCAAAAAGGGATGGGCAACAGTGTAAACGATTCGTAAAAAGGGAGATATGGCACAATACGGGAGTAACACCTATACGGTACCTACCCGAGAAAAGTCAAGGAGGTCAAAAACCTTAATATTCACTTTGAGAGATAGGTTAATGCACTTCGCTGCCTCATCAGCGAATTGTTTTGCGGTGCCACTTTCTGACCCAAAATAGATTTTGATATTTCCAAGCTTTCTCGAGAAAATATGCCTTGTATACCTCCGAAATACATGCGCTAGGCTCCAAATAAAGAAAAACAGTACAATCAGTAGGGACCAAATGTTCAAAAAGAAATACATTCTGTGGGGACTGGAGGCAATCAACCGCCTCGGCAGATCGCAGTGGACACTCCTATAGGGTGTAGCAGCCGAGGACGTCAAGGGTAGCACACACCAAAGTGAGGACACGCTGAGATCCTGGGGGAGGTAGACCTGAACAGAACTGTTAGCATCTCTTGATAGTCATTCACACGCAGGAGAAGAAGATACATCAAGTAAGGGATATAGTATAATATAACGACATGGGTATGGGAAATGTGTATAATAAGCGTTAGTGAACACGTAGAATGAGAAACTGCAAATAAACGACCTGTCTGGATGGATAGGTGACTCAGACATACTAGTTAAACAGCCGGTGGAGATGCAGCGCTGTGGGCAACAGCAGGAAAGGCCCGAGGGGGAGGGGCGACGTTCAGTGAGAGAGAGACGAGAGCGGCGGTGCGCTGCGGGAGGAGGGTGTCGGCTGTAACGAGTGGAAGGGACACCGGCCATCTTAACCAGCACGCTGTTACACTGTGATACGGCAGGAGTGAATTGACTCATTTTGGTTTTACGAAAGTGGCCTGTTTCAAAAAAGGGAGTAGTGTGTTTTTTGTGTGCTTGCAGGAACTACTGACGGAGTCCGCATCCCAACTCCTGTAGCAGCCTACAGCTCTACGTTCCCCGTAGTTCAGCCAGAAATTAGTCGAGCTTATATTGTCAGAGAAACTCCTCTGGATCAACCTTAATCTACGAGTGTTCTTCCCTTCCCTCTGGTTTCCGAATTTGTATGCGCTAACGTACGCTTTTTGCTATTCCTCTCTCCGTCTCTACTCATTTTTATTATACCGTTTACATTATCGACTCTCTTAGTTGTCCAGGTTATACCTGCTTGTTTGAAATACTGTCTGCCATGTGATACCGAAGTCAAGAACCGATCAAACAAGCCAACCGGGACCAACCCCTGCTCTGTCCGATTTAAGCAGGACGACGAACCTTAACCGAGGACCGGTCTCTTCGACAGAACAGCCAGACGGACCGCCCACTACATTGGTGGCAGCGGTGCACTCGAGCTCCCCACCCCTCCCCTCACCCCCAAGACCAAATTGTGATGATCTTGCAGTCTAACGGCCACTCAGCTTGACAAAGCACTAGACGGCGGTTAGTCCGAGGAAACCCCCTGGCCCAACTATGCAAGGAGATGGAAAACCTGTTGAAACCTTCTATATCTAAAGGAGAGACGTTAGACCGCATGTACTAGCGACGGAGACGAATAAGTGAAACGGCCAAGGATTTCGCGGACGACTTATACCGCCTTTGTAAGGCGGCGTACCCGTCTATCTCCCCTACCGACTGTAATGACGCTCTCATTTAGCACTTTATTAAGTACATTGAACCCCCCGAACTACGGCGTTCACTCCTGCTGCAGCCACCCTACGACCTCCAAGACCCCATTAGTTGCGTAAACCATTATTCGACACTGCCTCACCCTGACTTACCTCGTCAGCCATTCCTTAGAAATAATCAAGTCCAGAGCTGGCGACGAGATGGTGCCGGTAATCACAACCGGCCCGGAATTTTCAACCAATAGCAGTACCCTAAACGTGGGACTATAACCATTTCTTTAACCGACAAGTCTGCGTGTGCCGCAATCAGCGGTCAAACGGACCCAACGAACTCGCCGGATCCGGTACGTGTTCGATTCCCCTCATCTCCCAGCTTCATGCTACAATACCACCATTCTATTCTTAACTTTTTCTTAATGAACAACGGATCTGAGCCTTACTAAATACAGGTGCGACAATATCCTTAGTGAATCCACAAATACTGTCGCCTGCACAAAATTTACAAATAGACCTGTAGTGGACAGTCACAGTGTCTACGTCGCGCCTGTCGCTAGCGCCTGCACCTACGTCCTAGCGACAGACTGCTATGGCACGCATGTCTGCCCGGTTTCGATTTGTCTCGTTGCAATTCACTGTCTGCGCCACGCACCCGGTCGATTCTTTGCCTGCACCATGCGAGGCCTTTCACTACCCCCGCATGGGCTCGGAGCCAATCAACGCACCTACTATCGCTGATTGGTAAGACAGGTGTAAACAGCCCAGAACACTAGCGTAAACAATTTGCCACGATACTTTTGCAGCGGCGACCTTCGGCGACACACGGCTCGTCGCTCTCGCGGACGCCGTCTCCGCGGCGCCGGACGAACCATCGTCCGGTTGCCAACTTTCCTTCCCTATTCTGTACAAAATAAATAAAATCTTCTCTCCAACTGGCGTCCTGCTTCTAACAACTTGGGATATGGCCTGAAGTTGTGGCGTACTGAGCGTACACCATCACCGCTTAGCCGCTACAGACCCGAGACCCCAGTCCACATGCTTACCCACAGCAGACGGCTCTCGGTTTGACTGCATCGGCAGCATTTCGTTCCAACTAACAGTTTAGTCCGGGTTGAGACAACATACCTTTTTGGTAGTGCCAGGACTAGCCTGGGATATATTGCTAGGACTCGATTTCCTCAGCCGATATAATGGTTCCATTCAGGTCAATCAACGTACTATCGAGTTCCAAAGACCACCCTCTACTACACAGGCCGACTCACCTACGTTCGACGAAGACGCAGTGTGTGCCGCTATTCAAGCCACAGTTGCCTTACTGGCAGTTCACATCGACACCATGCTGCCTGATGCCGCGAATTTGACGGAAAACGACCGTGAGATATTCAGAGCCTTACTAACAGATTTCGCAGAAATCTTTGCATGGGATGACGACTCTGTAGGCTGAACGGCATATCTGCGACACTCCATCGATACCAGCAGTGCCAAGCCGGTATGACAGTCACCTCTGCGAATACCGGCCCATTTGCAGGACGAAGTCAGTTAACTTATTGATTTTATGCTTAAGAATCGAGTTATACGCCCGTCAAACTCACCTTGGGCATCGCCCGTTACCCTGGTACCGAAGAAAGACAGGAAGCGACGCCTTTGCGTCGACTGCCGCAGACTCAATGCCTTGACCACTCGAGACTCCTTCCCACTCCCCTCATCGACGTGACCCTCGACGCACTAGCCGGCGCACGCTGGTTTTCCACGTTAGACCTTATATCGGGGTACTGGCAGGTCGAGACAGAACCTGCAGACCGCCATAAGATAGCATTTACACTTCCACGAGACTATTCAAATATGAGACGATGCCATTCGGCTTATGTAGTGCACCAGTGACATTTCAGCGGCTGATGCAAGTCGTCCATGGCCAACTGCTACCAAATCAGTGCCTGGTCTACTTAGACGACTTTATAGATTTCGGACGCAACGTAGCACATCATAACTAAAACCTTGTGGCCGTTTTAACCGCACTAGGCGACGCGGGTTCACTTCTTAACCCGTGTTTGTTTTTACGTGTCAATGTTACCTATTTGGGACACGAAATCAGTCGAGATGGCATCCAATCTTCCCCGAAGTAAACCAAACGCTGTTAAATTGTGGCCGATTCTTAAATCAGTAACCGAACTGCATAGTTTTCTTGGATTAGCGCCTTACTATCGCAAATTTATTTGCATTTTGCATCCATTGCATAACAATTACTTCGGTTAACCGAGAAAGGACGCAAATTTACGTGGACTAACAATTGTCAGATTGCTTTCGACTATCCGAAGGCCCACCTCCTCTCCGCACCGATACTCACACTACCAAACACGGAATAAATAAATAAATAAATTTTTATTTAATGCCAGTTTACATGCATTGTCAAGGGAAGCGTTTAAACATAAATCCGACCGGCAGTGAAAAAAAACTCCTGAGCTAAAGGGATAAAAATATAGTTGATGGTGGTTTTTATGGTTTGGAGGGCTCAGGAGAAAAAAACTGCCGGCGGTGGTAGAATGTCGACCGTCAAGAAGGGGGGAGGTTGCACGGTATCGGAGATTTTCGGACGTCAAATTCCTTTCATGAAGTTGGGGATAGCCAAAATAGAGGCGTTGAGGAACAGCTGGTGAGACCGGCCATAGTGTTCAGAGACCACAAACGCCATCGCTACGGTACAGTCGATCAGAGTTTTCAGCACCCAAAATTTATGGGAGCTTTTCTGAATGCAAAAATCGAGTAATAGTTCTCTTTAATAAAGGATAATTTTGCAGAGTTTTCACACTCATGGGTAGTTTATTCCAAATAGCAATTGCATTTACAGAAAAGAACCGACGATATTTAACAGTACGTGCCAGAGGCAGAAATAAAAAGACCTCACGGTGACTGTTACGTCGTGGGTGGATATGATGTCTTAAAGAGGTGAGTGGGTTAAATGTGTGATTATATAAGAGTTTAAATAGCAAAAATAGTCCCTTTTGTAATCTACGGAACCATAAAGGATCGAGGCCTGTAAGCCGGCAACGTTCTTGGTAAGACAAATGTCGGTGTTCCGGGGTTAAAATTCTCTTGGTAAAAAAGTGTTGAACGGATTCTATTTTCATTGATATTTTGGCAGATTTTGAATAATTCATATTGACCCAACTGTGAAAAACTCGGCGCCTCGGTGGAATTCGAACCCACGCAGTAAGGGGGCAGGCTTTAGTACAGCCAGCGCCCTAACACCTGAGCTACGAGGCCCCGCCGGACGACGCGAGTTCAATCACACTTGACTTATTCAAAATCTGCCAAAATATCAATGAATTACGTGAGCCTAGTAGTCATCTGGTGGATTCTAGGTGAATTACTTAGGAAATCCTGCTTGGGCAGTCAACTTACTGTATCAGATTTGGTGGATTCCAGACATTCAATTGCAGTAGGTTGGGCGGGTAACTTGACCCAAGTGTGATAAAACTCGCGTCGTCCGGCGGGCCTCGTAGCTCAGGTGGTTAGAGCGCTGGCTGTACTAAAGCCTGCCCCCTTACTGCGTGGGTTCGAATCCCACCGAGGCGCCGAGTTTTTCACAGTTGGATTCTATTTTCTTCCTCTCAGTAGCACGCATGAGGCTAGATGAAAACGAACAGTATTCCAGGCCAGGTCTAACGTACATGTTGAAAAGGCGCATTCTAATGTCCCTAGCTTTAAAATTTCGGAGGATAAACCCGGTCGTTCTACGTGCTTTGGAGACTATCAAGGCACAGTGCTCCGAGAGATTGAGACTCTTGGAGTATGATACGCCCAAATCCTTTATAACCCCTGGCACATTTATTGCGTGACCTTCAATACTTAGTTGAGGTTGGCGGTCGTCGGCAACCACCATGACTGAGCACTTATGCCAAGAAAGAGAAAGGCGCCATGTGCGGCACCACTGGGCGAAGGCCTGTAGATCGCTCTTTAGGAGCTCAAGCACGATGTCATGAGCTGCCGGCTTATATCGATATGCAACTTTAAGATCATCGGCATACATGAAAGGCTTACCATTCTGAAATAAATCGGGTACATCATTAACGAAAAGGCAAAATAAAAGCGGGCCGAGTACACTACCCTGAATGACTCCACTCCTCACACGTGTGGGGTTGGAGATGGTATTGAAAATCCTAACTCGTTGTG